AGGAAAGTTTAGGAATTGATAGAATAAGAATTTATATTCGGGCTTACTATTAGAGAAATTTCTCTTGGATATTAAGGACATCCTGTAAGAGAAAATTGTACGAATATCGGTTATCCTAATGAATGTTTTTCATAGCAAACTTTTATATTTGAATTAATTTAATTCCATTCAATTCAATTGACTAATTTAATTAAGTTTAATCTTTATTGAACGATGTCCACTGTATTTCGCGTCTTTTCAGATATTTCCGTACGGTTACTATTGATACTTGTTATATATTCCACAACGCCACAGTTATTTTCGGCCAATTCAATAAGAAATGTCCTCTGTGACTAGATCAATTTTTAGAATCTCTGCAACCCTCTCTAGATGCTTCATTATTCCCCAACTGTGGGACATCTAGAGAGGCAGCACTGCAATCACGGAACCGCATTTCCATGCACTCATAATGTGTTTGAATATGCAAATCCAAATAGAATAAAAATGTCAGCGGCCTCTAAAACGATGAATTTGCATAAAGACCCGTGGCTTCCATGCCCTGGTCCATTCTCTTTTTACTCGGACCCTGGGTCGATTAAATCATTCCATCGAATGCGACATTTTTTCCCGGCGAGCCTCCGTGTAAAACAGAATGGCCCAGCCGCCGGATATTTATTTGTCGCGCAGAAACGACTTATTCAGCGCGCCGCGCCACGCGGTTAGCTAACGCACGCGAAATAAAAGAGAGGAGCGACTCACCGGGCCCGATATTATACGCGACGCGAACCACAGAGCTGTTGCTAGCGATGAGTTCGCGTTACGTAGGCATGCATACACGGCACAGAGAAATAACTTTGATCACCTTAATTAATGAACTATGACCGTCGTTGACTTCACGGTTTCACCTTCAAGACTTCGATACTGTAATATCTTCATGATTATTGCTTTTATACATCCGAGGATAATGAGGAAAACTTAACTGATTAAAATTAGAGTACTTTGAAATCAAACATTTATAAAATAACAGAAGGTTCCAAGGTTAGGCTTCTTTCACGGCATTTTTTGAATTTTTTAAGATTTTATTATTAAAACGCTTCATTGGGTCTTGACATTTCATATTAAAAATAAATATTCTATTATTGAGTGTGATACCACGAAATGACAAAAATTCTATTGCCTACCCAAAGCTTGCAGTAATAGTAAAAATTGCTTTGGAGTTATACTATTTTATATATTTTACATATTCTTTAGATTAAAGCTTTAATAATGAAGTATAATAAATATGTTCTATAATGATTATTTAATTTTCCATTTAAAGGGAAATTTTGAAAATCATTATATAGCCATTGTATCGCTTTTCTCCACTTTTTGTCTTATCGAGTTAATCGATGTGGCAAGTGAGCCATTCAATTAATAACTGCAATGTTGAATGTTAATAAAATACTAAAATATGTAAATATTAATAAATATTCAGAAAATAATAGAAATTTATAATGACATCTTTTTTAGAACTAGCAACGTCTGGGAACTAATGCATAAACAGCAGAGCATGTAGAGACACGAACACATTCGAATACAGTGCGGAACAACCGGTAGCTTTCCGCGTAACTACGATTCGATTTGAAGCGGTTCATCGGCTAGCGATAACGATATTCGTCAGGATGTTCGCATACTACAGGTTCTGGCATGGAATATCAAACGCAATGCCTGACGTTTCGCGGCATGCACACGTTACTACGTATTTCTAAAGGAGCAAGAGAAACCTCCAATCGTTTCGCCGAGGAAAAACATCGTATCCGTAACTTCGAGGAACGATACGGTGAAACGACGGGGACTGAGAGAGTTGTCTCGATGGTTATCGGCGTTGTCGTCGTGGTCCAGACGTTACCGGAGTCCGGGTTTCTCAAAGAAGCCACTAGTGGATACATCACAGGGATATAAATGGACTGGCGTGGACACGAGAAAAGCTTGCGCGTATTTCCTCTATTCCCCTTTTGTTCGATTGTACGTGAAAAAGTTCCCTTGATCTTGTATATACGTTTCGTAACACGGGAAAAGGCAGGTTTCGTTATTAGATGTATAATATTAGAATCTCTGCAAGAAGTAGTTTCCAAAATAAGATTTGACATGCTTAAGGAAGAATAGAACTATTAGAATAATTTTTAAGTTGTATTAATAATAATCTTATTCAGTAATATTTATGTGAACTTAAAGCTAGGTTTATGGAACACGTTAATTTGACTTAATTAACTTAAGTTAATTTGAGTTAATTTGACGATTAATTTTAAAATATCAAATTTTACAAACATTATTTAGTAAATGCTTATGTCGATTTTGATTGATGTAATAACTCAAATGTATATTTTAATTGTCTAATTCTCAAATACCTAATTTCCAAAATATATATGAACGAATATCAATTTTTCTACGACCAATAAAATAAACTTTACAATAAATGTCCGTAAACTTAGTTTTAATAACATTGTATTCTATAAATTGTATTCCATGGCTTTTTTTCATTCTGATAAGTTTTACTAAATTACAAGTGCCTTATTGGAAAATGTGAATATTAGAGATATTTTAACAGTATATTAGACATGTTTGTATTACGTTTGCCGTGATTGTGTATATACTTAACTGACCGAAGTCAGCTCAAATAAATCACAGCTCTCTGGAAGACAGGGACCAAAATATTAGTTCTGGAAAATGGAAAAATATAGACTGGGAATACCCGTGGGCCCACTTGTGACTGAGGGTTCAGTTCCAGGTCCTCAGATGAGTCAGGAGCAAGGGACGCGGCCATTGTCTAAGGAAAAAAGTGTTTGGGTGTTTATTTTCTAGGATTTATTATCTAGCTTAGAATGTTTGAGGAAAGAAGCCGAATGTCTAAACTAGTATTTAACATAAGATAATTTTGGATGCGTCCTACTACCTAAAAATAGAATGCCTTGCTATAGAACTGCAGGAAGCTGATGTTAGTTTTGTGGATATACAAATAAATTTACCATGGGGTGTGTTGGTTGCTTTATATTGTTGCAGTTGAATTCTATTATCACAAGAGCCTATTGCCTTTCAAATAATTATTAATCCTTTCATTCAAAAGCTCTCTATTACCGACACAACAATACATGCGTTATTTCATGTATTATAGAAAGTAATATTAAAATAAATTTCAGTTTTCCTCAGTATCATTTCAATATTATATATTTATTATTTTTTGTTTCAAAAATACAATACAAATTCCAACGATAAACACAGCATTCAGCTAGTCTCAAGACCTACACACTCAAACTAAAGAATTAATAAGAAATAATTCCCCATCTCAGCAACAGAAATCACCTTCTCAAAGTCTAATGCACAACGATTCACACCCACTACACAAAATTTCACGCACTCCCTCACAATTCCCCACGGTTAAATTCTTCAAAAAACCTTCGTGGGGATCAGCTCGCGCACCTCGAAGCGCGCGCGTCTCCATTTTCCCCTTACACATGGCATACGAACTCCCTATCGAGCCCATCGGTCACGGGTATTGAAATAAACAAACAAGCGTCGGGAGCAATATCCCACTCGGTCAATATTTACCTGACGGTTAGTCGACTCGAGTTCCCCGCCAGTGGCGTCGGCCGCCGCCACTTCCACCTTCTCAGTATCGTCGGTTTCCTCTTCTTCCGTCGTCCTCGCTGCACCTCCGTACCCGTTGCTGTCTCCATCCAACCTCGCTCCTGTTCTTCCTTCGTCGAAGTTCCGAGCAGCCCTCATAGGATGAAAAGGAAGAGGAGGAGGAGGAACAGAACGCTCGTCGAAGCGACGGCAAGGCAGCGCAACGGCGCTCGAAGGCGAATGGAGAACGAAGACGAAGGACAGCGAGAGGAAGGAACCCAGTCCGCGAGATAGGGGCGCGGGGGGTGGGAGAGAGCGAAAAGTAAACGTCAATGTAAACGCGGCGTTTACATTTACGTGTTTGCCAAGCAACTCAAATATTTCGTGCCGTGTGTGCCCCGAGTGTCCGCGTCTCTGCGAGAGCGCGTCATTCTCTGTGGTGGTGTGCGCAAGCACGTAAACCGCACGTGTGTGCTTTGCGTCGGTGGATACCCCGGGGTGCGCCCAAATGCGTGAACCAGAACGGCCGCGTCGTGGTGTTCGTGCGAACCGTGGTTGCAGGCTACGACACAGCGACGTTTCAGCTACACGCAATGTTTATCGAGGCCGAGACCCTTGTTTCTTTATTTTCCTTCCACGATGTTGTCTTCCTCCTCTGCCTCCTTCCCTTCACCGCCAACCGTTGCTCCCCTTTCTTCTATCTCCCACCTTCTAGGTTTCTTGTTCCTCT